ATATGATACTTGTCTTTCTCTGTCTGACTGACTTCACTTAGTATGATCATCTCCAGGTCCCTCCATGTTGCTGCAAAAGGCATTATTTCATTCTTTTCTATGGCTTAGTAGTATTCCATTGTATGTATATACCACTTCTTCTTTATCCATTCATCTGTCAGTGGACATTCAGGTGGTTTCCATGTCTTGGCCATTGTAAATAGTACTGCTATGAACATTGGGGTGCATGTATCTTTTCGAATTAGAGCTTCCTCCAGATATATGCCAGGAATGGGATTGCTGGATCATATGGTAAGTCTATTTTTAGTTTTTTGAGGAATCTCCATACTGTTCTCCATAGTGGCTGCACCAATTTACATTCCCACCAACAGTATAGGAAGGTTCCTTTTTCTCTCTTTTTCCAGCATTTATTGTTTGTGGACTTTTAATGATGGCCATTCTGACTGGAGGTTATCAAAACTGTGTCCAGTGCAACTTCATATTTCCCAGAGTGCATGGTGCTTTGCACATAGTAGGTGTGCAATAAATTAATTTTGGATAAGTAAATCGATCGAAAGTAAACAGTTATCCTATCTCTTTGCTTCCACTTTTCTTGGCTCACGATAATTCAGTTGCATCACTTTTATGAGGTTGGTATTAATTATACTGTTACCAGGCACATACCCTTACAAATGAAAAAGGGGTCTTAAAATCTTAATTAAATCTGATAATTTTTTTCCTCATAGATTTTTATCCCAGGAATATTATCCACTGTTTTACACTATCATCATTTTGGGTTTTGCCACACCAGCCACATTGCCTAATGAAAGTTCTGTCTTCTATTGTATTTCTTAAATATTTCAAAGCACTCATGGTTCTTATATTTTTATTATGACTTCAGCTATAAAATACTCCTCCCCCGACAACATCAAAGTGCTCTTTTCTTGGGTGTCCAGCTTGCCTTACACTTTCTGCCCAAGGTGATCCAACTTCTAAAATGGGAAAGTGGGATATAGAACGTCTATGAAAGGAACTTGGGGACATGCACAGAAAAATCACACTTCAGGGAATTCTTATGCGAAAGATGGAAAAGAAAAGATGAATACATTTGCATTGTGTTTTCTAGCAACGAAAATATTCTGCAATCCGGATTCATGTTGATTATACAGTATGATCAGTAATTTTCTTTCTAAGAAATAAAGACAATACACTGCTTATAATTTCCCTGGGACACTAATCAAGGTATTTTAGAAGAAAGGTGGGAGTGTTTTCAACTACTACGTCAGAAGACCTTAGCTCTGCCTCACTTAGATATTGCAGATTTGGCCACTTACATTACTATTTGAAAGAGTTTTTGACTGTAACTGAAATAAGACTTCCTGGGCCTGCACTGAGAAGTTCTTCAGTCTATCAGCTGAGTTTATATCCACAGTTCCTTTGATCATAAGACACTAGGAGAAGCCTTGTCATTTCTTAAGACAAAGAAAGTCTTTACTGAGAGATTCCTCTACTTTAGCAGTGTTTTCAGTTATTCTTAACCTAAATATGTACTCTTAAACCTCAACCTGGAAAACCAGTCTTAAATACGTTATAAAATGAGTAACTTCAGAGTAACTGATTTTTATAACAGTAATCACATTTGTTCAGCAAATGCTTACTGAGCATCTCCTCTGTGATAGTCATTGTGGTCTGTTGATTATACAAAGATGAACAAGACCTAGTCCTGGGCCTTGAGGAATTTACAGTCAAGTTGAAACAAAACATTCTACTCTAGAAGAAAAGTGATGATTTTCACCAAATCAGATATTATTAGAATTCCAGGGTTAAAGAAACTTTGAGACTCTATTAGCCTTTGTCAAAGTATAATCAAATCCGAAATCTAGTTAGAGAAAGAGGTTTTAGGGTTATGTCATTTTAAAGCCAGAAGGGACTAAGGCCTACAGAGGAAAGAGCTACACAGGGAATTAATGAGAGTTTCTAGACTTTGAGTCTGGTGTCCTTTCTGGAACATTGAACTGCCCACGTTAATTTATTTAGTATCTTGTTTCAGGTTTTTATAACTCTCACTTGCTTATTAATATTGAATGTATCAAATACAACCTTAAAATGTTTCTAAATATAATATGATCAAAATAATTTTATAGTCTAGTAAATTATA